CTGACTGTTAGAGTGGATTACCAGCGTTGGAGAGCACTGAACTCTTGAAGTACCCAAATGGGAAAAGTCTTCAATTTGATTCTAATGATTAGAAATCATTCGTGACATGGAAGTCTCTTTCTTTACATAATTGGGTTGACTCAGAGAGGGAGCATCTCGTACTAAACTTCTGGTCTACTAATGTTTGAAAACTAGACTATTAGAACCTGAGTCTTGGGTTACAGAAAGGTGCTACCAATATTTTAGCTTCTGTTCGCATTCTCTCATTTTCAAGAAAGACAATTTGACATCATTTCAAATAATCTACAGTCCTACAAATTATGGCTGTTCTTTGTTGTTCAAATTAAAATTTGAAATTAGATATGCAACCCACCATTGCACAATAAAACATTTTGAAACTTTTCTTCTCAAAAAAACTTTTATCCTTTAATCTCTGCACAAATGTCCTATTTTATGACCTCTGTTATACCACAGAAATTATTTCCCAACAAGAAGAAACAGTTATATTAGACCAGATTTTCAAGTCATTAGAACATATTCTGACTTTATTTTTTCTACTTTAGCAAAATTATTTTCTTTTGAAGAAAAGATGATTCTGGACCTGCAGACAAAATTGCATATATAAGGGAATATCTGTTAAACAAAATCTAATGGGATTTTGTGGAAATGTTTTCCTGTGGACTGAAAGATGGATATCCTTATATAAACCTACATAGCCTATGCATATGCTGTGGTTCAGAGCAACCTTCAAGGTTTTATCCTTTTGTCTCCATCGTGAAACCTGGGTCTTCACTCATGCATAACGAAACCAAGGAAAATATATAACCCGAGTTTCCAAGTATTGTTTCTCAACTCAGTTTTCTCTATTCACACCTTTGGCTTTGAATATTGAAATGAAATCTGGATGGAATAAAATTAGTACAGGAAGGGACCCCTGTCCTTTGATGTAAAAGAGGTTAAATTGTTCCCTTGCCAACTTCTAAATTTGAAAATGATCAGCTGGTGTGATTTTTATTGTTTTTCTTCTTTTTCATTGAAATGGAATGACTCTAACCCCGAGCTGGGCTTCACAATTAAAAGGTTTTCTATGTTATTAACGTTGTACAAATATTTATTGCAATGATCTCTGATTTCAGATATGTAGTCTGGATTTTCCTGAATAAAGTCAACTTGGATAGGTTAACTTTGAAAAAAAAGAGAATGCAGGATCTTGGAACTTGAAGATAGAACAATGAGATTCCCCAGAAAATCATGCAGGGACTGCATAGGAACTCTTGCCATTATTCTTGGGCAATGGGACAAGCAGTAGTAAAGCTGAGAGTTGCTAGGATGGTAGGTTCCTGAGGAGTCTTTGCGGAAGTAGTCATCTCTTTACATGAAAGCAACTCAGAACCTGCCTTTGACTGCAAGAGTCATTTGTCATTAACATAATACAGTACTTTTCAAACTTTTATACAGAATGAGATTTTTTTAAAGGAAAATCTCTGCTAAAGCTAAATAGATAATGCAGACAGAAGCAGGGTTACTTTGGTTGATTTGGACCTATCAGTGGGCTCCACATAAGCCCCAGGTCTTGGCAGAGCCATAGTGGTGAACCACTGGCAAAACATGGAATCAGAGAGTCAACTCAATCCCTTACCAGTTGTTGGAACTTAGACAATTTATAGTCTTTTTGAGCATGTGTGTGCACATGCATGCGTGCGTGTGTGTGTATTAATTTTTGCCTCTCAGGATTGTTGTGAAGATAAGTGGTAATGCACATAAAGTGCTTAGCCCAGTACCTTGCATGTAAGTAGATATTCAAAAATTGACACTACTCTTATTATCATCATCATCATCATAATCATAATGAGCCGTACTCATACAGGAACCATGTTCCAGGCTTGCTCTAAAGGGCTATACATGCATTAACCCTTGTAATGTACAGATGATGACACTGAGGCTTAGAAAGTTTAAGTAGTTTATCCAACACAGATGGTGGAGTTGGATTTAAGCTTCTGGATTTAACTCTAGAGCTTGAGTCCTTAACCCCACTGTACAGTTTCTTCTCATTAATAATACAGCACAGGACTCAGTGTGTACCTGTGGAGATCATTCTCTCCATCTTAGCTTCCTCCTATTCAAATGGGGATTCCCTTAGCACTGAGAGACTCAAATGAGGGAAAGTCTGTCGTGTCACACGCAAAAGACTTCTATTTTTATATGGCAACTTATGTGGTCAGTTCTTTTTATGCAGTTTGATTATATGAAATAACAACCATCAAATCTTCATTTGCATCTGTTTTGTGTGGAAGCAACTCAGGTCAAAAACAGGTCTGAACTTTATCAACATTCCAAACTCCAAAATGGAACTTATTTAGCTTTAAGCTAGGTTCTCAGAAAAAAAAAAGTTTTCCATATCTAATGAACAGTTTTGCTGTGGGCTGCTTTTGAGAATAAGAGATTGTCATATAAGTACTTGGCATGGGGCATCATGTATCACACAGAAATAAAAAGATAGATACTGAGTGAGATGTGGAAGCAAGTCTTCCAGCTGAAACTATCTTGTGGAGAGTAGAAAATGCTGGACGGGAATTCTGTAGAGAGCTGGGAACTGGGTTTCTAGAGTGAGTGTGTATATTGAGAAAGATGGTGTGGAGAGAGAAAAAGAAGAGAATTGAGGACAGAAGAGGGATGTCCACACTCCAAGGAAGTATAGTCAACAGAGGAAACTGCAGGGTGGTCTGAAGGGTAGGAGGGCTCCCATGAAGCCAAAGGGTTTCCGAAAAGCAAGGAGGATGAAGAACGAAAATAGGCTATGAGACGGGTTCTAGTAATGGGTAGCTTCAAAAGAAATAGCTTCTTAGTTTCCTTGCTGGAAAGTAACCACCACTGGCCCATCTTACATAAATTATGCACTTCCCCCAAGGAGTTACTTTTCTATGAAGTTTTTCTGACTTCCATTCTTCATGCACCCGCCCCCCCTCCTGAGAATTCCTGTAGCACTTAGAGACTGCCAGTGCACTCAGCCCTGGTGTACACCATCCCGCATTTCACTGGCAAAGGGGGGTGGAGGGCTCACAAGCCTCCCCATCTGGATGGAAGCAACTTGACAGTTTCGCTTCTCCCTTCAGGGATTACACCAGCTGCCTTCTCACGGGAGCTCCTGCACAGCTGTAAGTCCCCAGTGGTACCTTCTCCACAAGGCAGTCAGCATGACTTTTAAGTGTAAAGCAGATCACAGGACAACCCAGCTTAAAACCTACAATGGCTTTCCATCACACTTGGGAAAAACTAGGGCTCTTGGACTCCAGCCTACAGTTATCCCGAAGCCCCACCTCTCAGACTTCCACTCCCTCCACTCCCCTATCACTCACCCACTCAGCAATGCTGGCTGTTTCTGTCTCAGAGCCTTTAAACTTCCCATTCCTTCTGCTTTATTTTTATTTTATTTTATTTTTTAAGAGAAGGGCTCTTTTTTCTTTTTAATTAATTAATTAATTTATTTTGGGTTGTGTTGGGTCTTCGTTGCTGTGCATGGGCTCTCTTTAGCTACGGTGAGCAGGGGCTGCTCTTCGTTGCGGTGCGCAGGCTTCTCATTGTCGTGGCTTCTCTTGTTGTGGAGCATGGGCACTAGGCATGCGGGCTTCAGTAGTTGTGGCACGTGGGCTCAGTAGTTGTGGCTTGCGGGCTCTAGAGCTCAGGCTCAGTAGTTGTGGCGCCGGGCTTAGTTGCTCTGCGGCATGTGGGATCTTCCCAGGCCAGGGCTCGAACCCATGTCCCTTGCATTGGCAGGCGGGTTCTTAACCACTGCGCCACCAGGGAAGCCCCCTTCTGCTTTAAATGTTCTTTCCCCAGAAATTTCACATGGCTTCCTCTTCCTCACCATTCGTGTCTTGCCCAAATAGCTTCCCTTTCGCAAGGCCAACCACTCTGATGAATGTGGTAAGCTTTTCACCCCACATCACTCTCTACAGTATTATCACACGGTCTTCGCCATGGTGAGGAACTGACGTGATCTTATATACTTGTGTGTTGGTGCAGTGGTTGTTTCTCACTCTTCGTCCGATGCTTTGTTGAGTAGGAGTTCTGTCTCGTTCACAGCTCTGTCTCCAGCACAAGAGGAGCTGCTGACACCTAGTGGGTGCTTCGTCATTAAGTCTGGCTTGCCGACCAACTCAAGGCTTCTGGACAGTCTGCTACCTCTCAGGCCTGGATCCTCCTTCCTCCTTCTGTTGTCACTCCTTCAACCAGGCCCTTCTGATACCCTGACCTAAATCAGCCTCCCTGTTATTCTCTCTTTCATAAAACCCTGTTATTTCCTTCAAAGCCCTTTCACAGTTTTCAAATTCATACCTATTTATGTGTTTACATTCTGTCTCCCCCAACAGACTGTAAGTTTCAGCCGGGCAAAGACTGTACACCATATATACCTTGAGGGATATATATTATATACATCTTGGCCACTGCACCCTATGCCTGGCGCATAGTAGGTGCTCACTTATTCTGTATCGAACGAGTATTAAAATATTCCTCCCAGGTTTAACCATAGAGTAGAATATTAAAAAAATAGCTGAGGAAGGATTGATACATATTTCTCCTTGGGGAAAATTTAGATATTCTTTTTTTTTTTTTTTTCAAATATTCCTCCCAGGTTTAACCATAGAGTAGAATATTAAAAAAATAGCTGAGGAAGGATTGATACATATTTCTCCTTGGGGAAAATTTAGATATTCTTTTTTTTTTTCTTTTTCTTTTTTTGCGGTACACGGGCCTCTCACTGCTGTGGCCTCTCCCATTGCGGAGCACAGGCTCTGGACACACAGACTCAGTGGCCATGGCTCACGGGCCTAGCCGCTCCGCGGCATGTGGGATCTTCCTGGACCGGGGCACGAACCCGTGTCCCCTGCATCAGCAGGCAGACTCTCAACCACTGCGCCACCAGGGAAGCCCTAGATATTCTTGCTCTGGCTAGAATGTGCTTTTACATTTTGTAGAAAGGTCAACAAACCTGCCCTGATCTAGAGGAAGACATCCGTATCCTTTTCTCCAACAGGACAATATGACAGAGAGGCTGGATCTGATTCTGCCCAAGCTGGAGGAGACATCCTGGTGCTTCTCCCCAAGGCGGATGGAGGAAAGGCAGCTAAATGGGTCACACTGCAGCATGGAGCCTGCTGGCCATCACTGGGAGGAAAGGCAGCCCCAGGGGCCATGGAAGGGTGGATCTTAGCACATGAAGTCTGGCCATTCTTTTCTTCGGTCCAGTTATACTGATGCAGATTTGTGTAGTGTTCAGGTGGTTCCCCTGTGAGAAGCTCAAGCGGCTAAAAGGAAAGGAGGAACAAAAAGTTTGGACAACTTCCCATATTTACACTAAGCAGCTAACTCAGACTGGTGGGCAGGGCACTGATGGGTGTGAATTCTCTAGACTGGGCTCTGTGCGATGGCAACAGATCCTGGCAGTGACTTAGTCCATATTAGGTCAAAAGCTGTGTTTCTTGTTCTCATTTGGAAAATGGGATACTAATACTTATCTCTTGTTTACAGGGCAGAGGAAAAGATTGGCATGAGGGTGAGGTGACCCAAGTTCTAGTCCTGAATCACCATCAGCTAGCTGTGTGGCCTTGAGCAAACCAATGTGCTTTCTGGGCTTCAATTTCTTTATACTTAAAATGAACGTGTTGGCACCTAATCTTAGAATCTGGAATGACTGTACGATAAGGTTTCTCACTTAACGCACCCCTGCTACGATGGGCAGGATCTAGTGAAACCCCACACCGCATCGCCAGTACCAATAGCATCCCTTCTTGAATTTGCTGAGCCTGGTATCCCAGGTGAAATTCTAGCTCCTCCAACTACTGCTGCAGGGCTTCCAGTAAAGTTGCAGTTGTTCAGTCTCCTCCCTGCAGGTAAGTAATAGAAAACAACCAAATTTCACAAGCACCTCCAGGTGCAATCTTCCATTGTCCCTCTCAAAATGTAGGTCACTCCTTTGACAGGTCTTAAAAGAGACAGTCACCATCTTTATTTGTATCAGTTGCAGGCATAGGCTTATTAGGAGGGCAGGTTTCCTTTTTTTTTTTTAAACAACTCTGTTGCAGAATAATTTACATACCATAAAGTTTACCTATTCTAAGAGTACAGTTCAATGATTGTTAGTAAATCTGCCAAGTGTGTAACTACCACCACCATTCAATTTTGGAACACTTCCATCTCACCAGTAAGAAACCTTGTACTCCTTTATAAATCAATCCCTATTCCTACTCCCGGCCCCAGGCAATGACTAATCCACTTTTGGGACAAATACTTTTAATCTATGTGAAAATAGTGCAGATTTCCCAGACTCTAACAACCGCCAATATTCGCATTTGCGTGAGCCCCGTTCACATTGATTAAAGATATCCTACTGGCTAGCCCCCTCTTCCCAGCTGCTGCCTATTTTCTGACCTCAAATAGCCCTGGCCTTGAAGAGTTAAAGTGTTGCTATCCAGCAAATGGCTCTCACAGACTCCCACTGTGAAAGTAAGAATGGGAACAGGAAAGCGAAGGGAAAGCTGGCCAATTTCTCCTTAGCCCTGCTCCCTGGTGCTCATCTGTCTTGCCCTGGTTACCTTTTCGTGCTCCAGATGTGTGGGCTGGTACTTACTTTTATGGCTCCCTTAGATAATTATCTTTTCTCCTCTGACATGCCCCTGGAAAAGAGTGCCTGTTGTTCTCTAAGGTGCTGCTCAATTTCTTCTAAATGCTTCCGGAAACTCTGGCATACCGTCCTCATTGTTTCCATCTCAGGGACTGTGCACTGAGAACAATTAGAAAGAGCTGAGAAGGTAGGTCTTTCTGAATCACTGCAAGAGTTCACCACAGTGGCACCTGCCTTCCCACCTGGGCTTACCTGTTCGCGAGGAAGCCCTGCTGCTAATGTGTCAGAAAGAGAATAGGGAAAGCCCAGCCTTTGGCTTCGTCAAGCAACTAGAGGCAGTATGTGGCTGGGACAGGAGGGCAGCCATTGTTGGATGGCCCTTGGAGACATTGTGTCCCAGGGACAAGAAGGCGCTGGAAGACTAGGGGGAGATCGGGTGCAAGGATGTAGACAGGAGAGGAGGAGGGAAGGGCCAGAATAGTGCGAGCCTGTGCTTAGAATTGTTGAATTTTGTTTAATCTTGTTTCACTTTGGTGCTGAGTACTGCCTCACTCTGAATCTCAATAACACTGAACACGTTTGTTCGGATGGTATGTATTTGATTAGAGAAAGTCTGCTTAGAATAATTTTTATTATTCTTAGTTTTGCTTAACCACAGTCTCTGGTGGTTGAAATCTGTAGGATCAGCCCCACGCAGGTGACAATCCCATTCAGAGTGAGGTAGGCATAGATTAGGCATCCCATCCTCCATGGACTGGAATCGAAAATTGAACTCTGTCCTTTCAATCCTGCTTCCCATTGTTCCTGATGTGAATCATTCTTTAAATCTTACTTTCTCTGTACGACAATGCTGTTGCCTTGGTTTCTTTATTTAAATATCTTCTTGCAGCCACCAAGCCTGGTCTATTTGTCAGGCACTCTGCTGATTTGCAGAGTTCTTACCAGCTATCCTCTTTGTTTTCTAGCCCTGGTTGGATCATGCTTTGAATAGATCCATGATCCAGAACCCCAGAATCTCTACCCATCTGACTTTGAGTAATATTAATGCTAGCTGGACCCTAATGCTAGATCTACCGGGTCCTCCATTTTAAACTCGCTGATTAGTGTGTAGTGTCTGGTCATTGCCGACTCACCATCTCTCCCTCCTGTATTCATAATTACAGAATTCTAATATCTTAGGGGCACTGAGCATCTAACTAAAAACCTACATTTCCCAGTATCCCTTGCAGATAGGATGGCAATGAGATGGAAGTGGAGATGGTGGAGTGGGGCTTCTGGGAAACTCTTTAAAGGAAAAATTTCAATGGCAGAGGCCGCTTTTAACCTTCAGTGGAGACCAGCCTTCCAGCTATGTTAATTCCTCCCACCCCTTTTTCTAGGAAGTCCCAGCTTTCTTACCTTTCACCCCCAAACCACATGGCCACGCTCTTAGCAACCAGATGGCTATTTTTACTGGTATTGTCATAATGGAAATACTGTCCTAAGAGTGATATTTTGATATTGAAACTCTCCATCATTTTGCTTTGAGAGTCCGGTTTTGATTCTATCCTCATTTTTATACATGAACAACATTTTACAGAGCAAAACTCTCCAATTTTTGTTGCTTCGGTGTGAGTGCATTTGAACCAGTTAGAGGAGTATTTGAAGGTTATTGATGTCGGCAAGAGTGCTTGAAAGGTGACTACAGTTATGGTTCTTAAAACTAGAAAAGATCATACAGACCATGGAGGACTTCTTTTTATAGATACGTGTTCTGACACAAATAGTTAACTAACTTGTCCCAGGTCAAAACATGGTAGATTTCAAACCCAATTCTCCTGATTCATTTCTTTTCTTCTCAAGATCTAGCTGAGTCACAGCAGGGACTACAGTGTAGCTAGTCATACGGAGAAGTTATTTGTCCCTAAGGAATGAGCCGATTGGTCTTAGTAGATTCTTACAAGGTGACCAAGTTCTAGGGACTGTGAGGCCAGGGCCATGGAAATATGGTGCTCAAGTAGGTTGAACGTTATAAACGTTGAAATTTATGCTTCATCTAGATATTTTGGGATAACCTTTGTGATTGGAAGGCATGAGGGCTGGGATTTAGGAATAACTGATGGTGTATAGCTCCCTGTGAAGGGAGAGATATGGAAGATTCTGAAATGCTGCCATCTCCCGGTCATTTGGAAACACTGAAACTATCAATACATTTCTGCTTTAGAACAGATACAGAAGCTTCAGAAAAAAGGAAACCTTAGGCAAGCAAACAAAAAAAGAGACTGTTTTGAACTCTTTTTTTTCCAATATAAGGGCTAGGTTATAACTCAAATACAATGCAAGGTCTACTCTACTGACCCAACCTGGCCTTAAAACAAACTTTATCTTCAATAGTAAGAGCAACAATATTGACCCTTCACTTCTGAATTGGCTCATATTACTTTTCAGTGGCCATGGCTCACGGGCCCAGCCGCTCCGCGGCATGTGGGATCTTCGCGGACCGGGGCGCGAACCCGTGTCCCCTGTATCGGCAGGCGGACTCTCAACCACTGCGCCACCAGGGAAGCCCAGCTCATATTACTTTTTAAAATTTTGTATGATTTTCTTTTTCTTTAAATCTAAATAATAAACATTATAGATGGATCTTCTAATATCCAAAACTCTTATTTCATATACAACTCATTTTCTTTTCTGGAAAGATTTTATTTCGAATTAACAAATTATTGTGAAGAAATCACTTCTTTATAAGAAATGAATCATATCAGCAAACCATTATCATAGATAACCCACGAGAGCACACCCTGTCTGTGACTTTCTTCTGAAGTTTTAAACACAGTTTTGGTTTTTTATACTTTATTATTTTAAACAAAATATAAAACCAAATATGGTTTAATTTATATTTCCTTATGAAATTTATCTTAAAAATGTAAATTAGAAAAATAATTTTTTTCAGGATATGTTAGATCAATAATCTGGTTTTCATCATGGAAACTGGAGTACCTAACTGTAGGATTTAATACTTTTCCCCTTATAGCCTCTTAAAATGTCACCTTCTCCAGCTGTCTTTCATCCCTAACATTTGCCTCCATGAACTATATGGTCAAGTAGATGTTTATTCCCTTAGAGCTGAGTTTTTCAACGTTGACATTGTTGACATTTTAGGTCAGATAATCCTTTGTTGTGAGGGATGTCCTATGTATTGTAGGATGTTTAGCACCATCCCTGACCTCCACCCACTAAATGCCAGTAGCACCTACCCCTGTTATGACAACCGAACATGTCTCCCAACATTGCCAAATGTCGCCATGGGTGGGGTAAAATGATCCCCAATTGAAAACCACTGCATTTACAATCTCTCAACTAACATTAGTGATGATGATGACTCCTACTGTTCTCCAGGACTTGAACCTCGGTCTTTTTACTCCAAAGGACCCCAGCTATACATTAGCTTTTGTTCTTTTCTCTCACTGAAACTTAGCATAATATTATACCTAGAATTGATCTCAACACCTTCTTTTACTAGTTCACCCTTATTTTATCTTTCATATAATCACTTTCTATATTCATATTACATTTGTATAGATTTCTATATCTTGAGGGACCATGTAGTAATTTGCCTTATCTTTCAAATAATTACTTTCTCATGTTACTATTACACTTACATAGATTTAGATATTTTTAAAGTTGGACACATCTTTGGAGTGGATTGTCCAAGAATTTGGTGTCAGCTAACCTTGAATGTGACTCTGGACTTAGGAGTTGTGGGAAGTTGGAAAATTAAACTCTCTCAGTTCTTGTTTCCTCATCTGTAAAAGAGGGAGGACTTGGCACATTTATGGCATGGATGAAAATGGGGGTTATTTGACACAGCATAAATAAAGTGCTTGGTATAGCACTCAGTAAATATTTGTGGAATTAACAGGATGGGAAGGTAACACAGAAGGCCCCAAATAGTAGGCACCCAGGAAATCATAGTTGCCTTTCATTCTCCCTTGAACAGCTACAGTCCTACGTTATATGTGCTACCTTGTTTTCCCACCCTGTCTATACACGTAGTTTCATGTTTGATACTCTTAATTTTTTAAATCAACGGCTAGCCTTGATAGCCTAGATTATTTCTGACCTTGAGAATTGCTGAAGAGGGTTCATTGGAAGGACTCACTAAATGCTTGTTGATCTACCAGGAGCTGAACAGGGTTGGGGGTCCTTCAGTCCTCAGTAACCTCAATGTTCACTTTTAAACAAGCTTAGCAAAGGAAGACCAAAAGTTCCTCTATTTGACATGAGAAGTTCTATGTTTAAGACCTGAACAATAATAAAAGAGTAACAAAAATCGGTAACCACGCAATTAGCATTTTCTAGGGCTTTCTATGTGCCGGGCACTGTGCTGACTGTGCTGAGTGCCTTACAAGTTTTCTCTCATTTAATCCGAAAACGATCCTGCATCGATGACATGAATAGCCTCCCTATTTTACAAGACAGGAACTAGGCTCAGAGACATGAAATGGCTTGTGCAAGATTATACAGCTAAGTGAATATCAGACAGAATTTTCAGTTAGACTGATCTGAAGAGGAGGTACAGATGCATTGATGCTTAGAACCTTACACATGAATGTACTGTTCTATACCCCTCTGTAAAATGGGGGTGGATAATAAAATGTGCCTTCCTTCCTTCCTAAGGTGATTGGAAGTATCAAATAAGAAGAAATTTGTGAGAATATATTGTAAATAATAAAGCAGTCTACAAATATTAGTCATGATTTGAAATGGAAAGGTACGTCTCGAGAGCTCACATTCGGAAGGGAAGGCTGAACTTTATCCCTGAGGTATTTATCGTTGCTGCGTCTGCTTCCCCATCTTTGCTGAGGTAAATACTGACAGAATACAGCTCTCTCACTGTGGTGTCCTGAAGGACTTTCAAAGTCTTCATAAACTGGGCTTCCAGATGGTTATGTGAGCATGAACAGGACCTACAGGCTGAAGACACAAAGCTGGGGCTTTGCCTCGCCACGTGGCAGGGGAGATGGTGGTGACAGCAGCCACCACAGTGGGCAGGCACAGCTTGGCAGGTGCCCCCTGGGTAGATACCAGGGAAACATGTGTCTGCAGAGACAGATTTGGTGAGGGGCTGGGCCTTGTTACTTGGAGCTGAACAGCAATGCCAGGGCCTAGGCTCACATGTGTTAAGTCTGAACAGAAACATCATTGAACTGTCTTGCTTCTGTTCCCAGTCCTGGTTCTGCTGTGATAACAGGGTCACACTTAGTGCATTCTAAAGTTGCTTCTCTAGAATCCATTCCCAAGACCACAGCACTCTGAGCAGCTGATGCCAGTTTGCAGAACATCTGGATTGTCACAGACTTGGAGCATTTACGTTAGCATCTGGAGGAAGGTTTCCCATCTCAGATTCTGCCCTAGGTGGTATTTGACCCAAAGCACTACACCTTGGCCTCACTTGGGGAGTATCACCAGCCACTTAATCTAGATGGGGAATGGACCTTCCAGATGTTTGGACAAGGTCTCCTGTATAGGGCATGGCTTCACTGGGCTTGGGGATGTGCTGTGGGACACTCTTTTTGCATCAGTAAGGCGTTGTTAATATCAGGACAGAGTTTACCGCCTTCTGTTCCTCTTGGGGCCTCCGAGTCAACATGAAAGGACTTGTCTTGAGCACAGTCAATTCCAGGTGATCTCTGAGACTCACAGTGGTGGCTTTGTACATATACTGCCCCAGCTCGCTCAGGCCTTAGGAACCTATCCTTCCCTTCTGTGATATGCATCACCATAAGACCCAGAGGGCAATCAGATTTGGAGGTAACCGTGCCTACAGTGGCCTCATATTCAGTCTGGGGCGCAGGCAGGTGCTGCCACAGATGGCTGTTTTTCCTTGGGGGTTCTCCCCCAGGGGTGATCTTATCAAGGGCCAGATCTTGGGTCAACAGCTCTGAGGGCCTGTCCATGGCCTCAAACTGAGACTCTTTCTCTACCACAGAGGTTGAGGCTTTTTCTTCCAAGACACTCCTGTCTTGACTTGAAAAAGATGTCCTCACTATGCTCTTGGAATCAGACTCCTGCTGGCAGTGACTCTTGCTGGCAGTCCTGGGATGACTCTAAGCTGTGGCTCTGATTCCTTGGCTTTCTATATCCATTCTCAGCAGGACTCTGGTAGCTTGACAAGCAGGGTATCTGTGGGAGAAATGGGAATAAGGGCAAATGGGTCAGAAAGGTGGGGGAGGTACTAGGTTTAAGAAATGCTGTGTTTTCCTTTTTTCTTATCATTATCATTGACTTAGGAATCAGGAGACAATGGTTACAAACTCAGGTTTGTGTAAGTTTACTACTTTACCTGGGACCTTCTTTCTACGAGACTCAGTTTCCTTCCTTAGAAAGATCAAAAGAAAATAAAAAGGAAACAAACACTGAGCTTTCTGTACTTGTCAACTGTGACTCCATTGTCCCCCATCTCTCAGGTGCCTTTGGCGTGTCTTCTAAGCACTGGTTGCACTTTCCAACTGTGGTGGCGCACTTTCATCTTATCTTTCCTTCTGTTCCTATTCCGACCCTCAAGGTGCCCTCTACCTGCAGGGGTGGTGGTTCCTCCAGGAACCCGCTGCTGTCAGCCTGGCAGCTGTTTGCTCTGTCGCCATGGCACCTGCAGAAAGATAAAGAGGCCTGGGGTCAGTAAAGTGAAAACAGACTGCCAGCAGGACTGGAGTCAAACACTCTCTGTGTCTGACATACTACAGATCCTCAGTAGATGTCCACTGTGTGGAAGTATACATGAATAAGGGAATTTCAAGGATTTTTTTCTCAGTTATCAGAGGGTCCGCATAAAATTGAGTCACTGGTTTCCTGTTACAAGGAGTAAAACATGAAACAAAGGAAGAGGAATTAACATCTCTTAAAGCTAAATAACAATCTGATTGTGAGATACATCTTCACTAAGGGGAAGAAAATCCAGAAGGAGATGCATATGCCTTAAATGCCACACTAAAAAAACAATAAACACCACAATTTATATATCTGTGTATATGTATTGCAATGGAAAGAATGTTACATTCCCCTTCCACCATGCTATGTAAACATTAGGAGACCCAAAGATTCAACAGAAGGGTTGAAACTTGCTGAAGATGGACAAAACAGACTTTGCAACCTCTCACTTTTTCTATATTTGTTTTGGTGCAAGATTTGTGCCACAAGCTGTGAAGGACTCCCAGTACATCATTAGTCTTTAAAATTTCCAGATAATGTCTAAGCAATTACGATTCTGGAATATAAGCTTCATATAAAATGGTTGCTATTCCCTTTCTTATAGCTTTGGAATGAAATTATACATTAGAGCACTAAAACAAAATTATCAGTTAAAGCCCATTTATTCGTATGCTGGTAGGTTCAAGTCAATCTGGTCCAAATGAAAATAAACAACCACAAACATAAAGGGTCCCTAAAAAGTAGAGAGAGTGATTTCTTCTAAAAGGGATATAGTTATATTATAACTGTTACCTTTAGTTAACTGTACTTTGTAAAGCACAAAAAACCAAAAATAAACAAAAATAACCTCTGAAACTCATTTAAGTGAATTTGTGAAGAAACCAGATTATGAAAACTTCTCTTTGATGGTGAGATCAAATGGTGGAATTGGGCATATTTCTCTCAGGAGTAGAGCCTTATTTATCTTGTGTTTTAGAAGCCAGATACATGCATCTGAATCATTCTGAGCAAGTCGCCAAGAAAATGTGGTCCAATTTACAGATGGTTTCATTTCTTCAGGAGGCTAAAAATCTTTCCTGCCTATAAACCACCTTTTTGACAACTCGATAATAAACTCTCAAAATTGGGTTTGCAAATTCTCTTTTTAAAATGATTAATTAATTAATTAATTTTGGGCTGCGTTGGGTCTTCATTGCTGTGCGCAGGCTTTCTCTAGTTGCGGTGAGCAGGGGCTACTTTTCTTTGCAGTGCACAGACTTATTGTGGTGGCTTCTCTTATTTCGGAGCACGGGCTCTAGAGCTCAGGCTCAGTAGTTGTGGCACACGGGCTTAGCTGCTCCGTGGTATGTGGGACCTTCCCAGACCAAGGCTCGAATCCGTGTCCCCTGCATTGGCAGGCGGATTCTTAATCACTGCGCCACCAGGGAAGTCCCGGGTTTGCAAATTCTAACCATTCTCTTAGGGTTGTAGGAATTACATGATAAAAGGATGAGAAATTGCCTAGTCCAGGATGGCTATGATAGATGATTAAGCAAATAGACAAATACAAATGTGCATCGTTTAGCACTCCCACACCCTCACACCTAATATGTAATATGAAGGTTGGCATGACTTAGGGGAAGATGATATGGCCTCTGGCAAGAGTAATGGACTTAGTACCTGCACCCCTAGGCCAACCCAACCCAGTTCCTGAAACTATTGAGGCCGAGACAGGTAGAACTTCAGAAGCCTCATCACCTCCAATAGGATTTTCCCTATGCACTTAATATGCACAAGGAGCCATAACTCTTCCTTACTCCACTAGATTGGGGCCTTGACTTACCCCTACCTTATCGCTTACCCCTACCAGTCCCTTTCCCCTATAGCTATATCTTATGATTCAAACCCTTGCCTACTGGGTGGATCCTGTACCAAACCACCACGAATCCCCTCGTGAGTTTGTCATGCCCCTTAGACTGCTGATTTCCTCATTCTGCCAATCCCGTAGCTCGGGGGGTTAATCTCTCGGTAATGTATGTTACTAAGATCCAGTTCGCTCCCATAGCTGAGTCATCTAGAAAATCTGGAGCCAAGTCTACTGGGTTAAGATTCTGACTCTCCTTCTCACTAGTTGTGTGGTCTTGGGCGCGCCACTTACACTCTCTGAGTCTGTCTCCTCATGGAGAAAAGAATAAATATGCTGAAGATACTGTCTGTGGGGTTGCGAAGAGGATAATATCCAATAATATATACGTGAAGAATTTATGTACATGGAAAAGATGATGTGATTACATATACATTTTTACTGCAGAACATCATCTTAATATTATATTATCTATCAGAATTCAATCATTACTAATGTTATTAAATATCATTAATGAGTGTCATTATTAATATTAATATTTATTAGAAATTACCTTTTCCGGCACAGGACTGTCCTCACAGAGTTAAGATTTTACCCTGCCAATTAGGTAGACCCTGCCCCGGGAAGGTTTGCTTCACCATCTCACGGGTGTGAAACACTTCTGCCTGGGGGTAGAGTGGCGCTGCAGGCACTTTGTCCAAACAGTCACCAGGTGGCAGCATTACATCAACCACAGCACAGAGGAGTCAGGGCCCTGACAAGAGTCTCTGGAATGGCTTAAAGCAGTAAGAGAAGTCAACCTGAAGGGTTGCTTTTCTGAGCTGAGTTAGTGATAAAAGCTCTGAATCCTAAGTGGAAAGTTTTTACTTAATGTAGTCTGAGTCCCTAGAGGCTCAGGAAAAAAAAAACAAACAAAAACCTGTGGAATTGAAACATAAATGAGGGAAGGGAGAAAAAGAAAAGGAATCTTTAAGGCTGTGAAGAACAAAAGAAATGGTTCGACCTTAGGCTGTTTGGGGTTCTCATCTTCCCTGAGCTATTCTACTCTACGTCTTTGCCAAGTTCTTCTCTCTTCCATCCTCCAATGGCAGCAAACTCTGTGACAGCTCCGTGGTGAAGTTACATCTCAGGGGCAAATTATCTTCGAATTGGACTGGACATTACAGATTATGCAAACTCGAATGCCTTTAGGAGCTGGGCAGGTCACATAGATATGTGAAGCAGCAAGATTCAAGACGATAGGGAGCCATGTGAATAGTCTGGACTCCAGAGTGTGTGTTCCCCCAAAGGCATTAAAAAAAATTCATTTGTAGGGCTTCCCTGGTGGCGCAGTGGTAGAGAGTCCGCCGGCCGATGCAGGGGACACGGGTTCGCGCCCCGGTCCGGGAAGATCCCACATGCCACGGAGCGGCTGGGCCCGTGAGCCATGGCCGCTGAGCCTGCGCGTCCGGAGCCCGTGCTGCGCAACGGGAGAGGCCACAACAGTGAGAGGCCCGCGTACCGCAAAAAAAAAAAAAAAAAAAAAAAAATTCATTTGTAGAACAAACAAAACCTCTCTATGGGCCAGTCAGTCCCCCATGTTGGAAGCCTGCATGGTGCATCCTACCATCCAGTGCAGGAGTACCTTCCAGAACATTCCTTATAGATGGTCATCTAGCTGGTGCTTGCCCACTTGTGGTGACAGAGACCTACTCTTGCGTACTCAGAGGGTATCATACCTTTTAGAAAATGCCTTTTCATATTGAGCCACATCTACCTCAGCACTTTCCATCTGTTGCTCATGCTTCACTCCGTGGAGTAATACTGGGCGTGTCTAACCCATTTTCCCCCGGACAGCTCTCTTGTACTCTCCAGGCCTTCTCTCCTCACCTTAAATCTCCCCAGATCCCCTTAAATCAGCCCTCAGAGGGCAGGGTCTCCAGGCCATTTGTGTTTTGTATTTTGGAATAAGCACTTAATAATGTTTGCTGTAAAACTGGGCACCCAGAATTCGATTCCGTGATTGAGACATGGTCTGAACAGCACGGAGTGGAGCAGGACTGCCCTCTTCCTTCTTCTTGATATTTCTCTTCTGTACACACAGCCTAAGGTTAGTCTAGTCAGAAGCTGTGTTTGCAGTGTTGGGTTGTACTGAGATCAGTCTCTATTTTGTATTCTCATAAGATTGACCTAGCTAGCTTGGGACCATGTTTTCATCCAGTCAAGGATGATTTTGACCTTCATTCTGAAAGCTATTTGTGTTTTCTATGGCTTTGAAACACATTCTTGCTGTGGGCCAAGTCACAGTTAATATTCTGAAGAGAACAGGCCATGAGACAGAGCCGGGCAGGGTGCTCTACTGCAAACCCCCCTTCTTCCATTGAACACATGTTCACTGGCCCTGCAGGGCCCTGCACTGCTCCAGAAACTCCATGGACACAGCAACAAAAGTACCTGGCCTCACACAGCTTATATTTTATCTTGACTGAATTCTAGAACTCAAGAAAGGCTGACAATATTCGTGATTGTGGCGGGTACACCTGAAGAGATTTAATTTTTCCTTCTATGCCAGCAGGCTGGAAGCAGAGGAGTTTCTAGCCCATAAAGATTTCTACATAAGGATTTGATAATTTCCATTAGCACCCTGCTGACATTTTTGTTTCAATCTCTTTCTTACAACCTGGGAATCCTTACTTTTCCTTTTTCCTTTTTCCTCCTACTCCCCTCCCTCTCCCTCACCTCCTCCCTCTTTTTTTTTGTTTTTTGCTCCAGGTTTAGCAATTTCTCCTTTGTTCTTTAGTCAGAATAATCTTCCTTCATCATTCCAAAAAAAAAAAAAAATAGCTGCTTCTCTAAAATCAGCTTCTTTTTGGCTTAATACCATTATAGAAGTAATACATAGCAGTGAAAAAAATTTGGAAAGTGAAAAATCATAAAAAAGAAAATAAAAATTACGTATAATCTAACCATACAGGAAAGTTACTATAATATATATCTACTTCAATCCAGTACATTTTCTCTGTGCACATGTATGTTTTATAAAATAATCATCCTAACATACACAGTATATATTCTGCTTCTTTTCACATAATATACTGTGAATT